TGTGTGTGGTCAAATGTAGCCATGATTCCTTTATGGAAAGCATCTTTTATATTTACTGTAGATAGCATTCCTACTATGACAAGGAGTAGGTTTTATATCATTCCTTTCTGTGGTTAGGTTAGTAATCTTCCCAGATTATAGCATGAGATGGGAGTCCAGTTTCATTCTATTCTGTATGAATGTACATCTTCCCAGGAGCACTTAATGGAAATGCACTCTTTTCCCCATTGGTCTATAAAGCCATCATTCTGTTAGTCATCAAGAGTCTCTGAGTTCTCTATTCTAGTCTGTTTCTCTTTTTTTTTCTGTCTTTGTACGATAGAGATAAGAAAACAAATAACAAAATAAATCCATAAGGTAAAAATAGTTTTTTCCTTTTCTCACTTCACTGGAGAGTAAATCTGGACTTTATATATGTTATACAAGTGAGTTGCACATAAGCCCTATTTTAATAACATCTTTACTCAATCTTTCAACAGTAAACAATCTAGTTGTGTGTTTTTTTAAAAGGATACTTACACAGTTCATATAGTTGAACAACCATCACAACTAAGTCTGGAATATATTTTTTAATATTTATTTTTATTTTGTGTATATGGGTGTAGTTGTCTACATTTATATCTGTGTACAATGTGGGTACAGTGCCCATTGAGGCCATCAGATCCCTCGTGACTTGAGTTACAGACAATTGTGTGCTGTCTTGTGGGTGCTGGTAATCGAACCTGGGTCATCTGGAAGAGCAACAAATGCTCTTAACCACTGAACCATTTTTCCAGCCCCTGGAATAATTTTTATTATTCCCCAAAGAAGTTCTATAGCAGAAGCTAGGTGTAGTGACATACACCTTTAAATCCCAGCACTTATGAGGCAGAAGCAGGTGAATTTCTGTGAGTTCAAGGTTAACTTGGTCTATGTAATGAGTTTCAGGATAGCCAGAGCTACATAATGAGACCCTATCTCAAAGAAAAAAAAGAAAGAAAAAATAGCAATCTCTCCCATTTTTCCCCCAATTCCCAGCCCTTGACAAACACTGATCTACTGTCTTTCTCTATAGTCTTGTCTCTTCTGGACATTTTTCTTATAATGGAATTGAACAGTGTGTGACCTTTAGACTGTCCTTTTTCACTGAGCACAGTAGTTTCAAAGTTCATCCAAATGCTATATTCTTTTGTATGGTTGATATGGCTGTGAGGAATAAATAAAATATTTTTATTTATTTATCTATTAGGAGACATACAGATTATTCCTTCATTTTAGCTGTTAGGAATAACGTTGCTAGATTTGTGTGTGTGTGTGTGTGTGTGTGTGTGTGTGTGTGTGTGTGTGTGAATGTGTTTTTGATTCTCTTGGGTCTAAAGCAGAATTGCTAGATCATATAAACTTTTAAAAATATATTCATTCTCTCCCCATTTGCCTTCAGGATTACAACTAATAACTTAATGCACTCTGGTGCCAAGTTAATTTCAATAGTACACAAAAGTGTGCTTTAATAGAATTTCTTTGTCCTCTCACTTAAGTTATTTTTAAATTTAGATTGAAATGCATTTATTATATGCCCATCAACATGGATTTATAATTCCTGATTTATGCAGTTGCATTTGAAATTAGAAGAAAATTACAATCAAAAATACATTTATGCTAGTTGTCATATTTATCTGTCTTCTTACTTTTATTGGTGTTTGTTTAAGACAAGGTCTTACTCTGTAGCCTTGGATGGTCTGAAACTCACTATGCTGATGAGGTTGACCTCAAATACTCAGCGATTCTCCTGCCTCTGCCTCCCAAATGCTGGAATTACAGATGTGAATCACAGACCTGGCTTTCAAGTTCATTCATTCCTTATTTTTTCCCTCCCTCCCTCCCTCCCTCCCTCCCTCCTCCCCTCCCTCCTTCCTTCCTTCCTTCCCTCCCTCCCTCCTTCTCTCTCTCCTTCCCTCTCCTACCTCTCTTTTTTTTTTTTTTTTTTTTTTTTTTGACAGGGTTTCTCTGTAGCTTTGGTTCCTGTCCTGGAACTAGCTCTTGTAGACCAGGCTGGTCTTGAACTCACAGAGATCCACCTGCCTCTGCCTCCTGAGTGCTTGGATTAGAGGCAGACGCCACTACTGCTTGGCCTCAAGTTCTTTATTGATATAGGCTGATAATCACTGTCTAGTGTTCATTCATGCTTTGTAGGGAAGGTCCATCAGTGACAAATTCCCTCAGTTTTTGTTGATCTTAGAATGCCTTCCTTATTTTCTCCATTAAAAAAATTCAATGTAGTATTTTTTATTAATTTTCTGAGACTATTATACATGTATTTTGATCATATTCAATCCTTACTCTTACCCTTAATGTTTTCAAGATTTATCCTTATTCTTAGACTTCTAACATAATGTCCTCTTTAAAAATAAATCCCACCAAAGCTAATTTGTGCTATCCACGTGGTGTGTGTGTGTGTGTGTGTGTATGTGTTTGTGTTTGTGTAGGGCCGTTCACTGGAGCATGATTGATGCACCGGGGGCTCATTCTTAAAGAAAACTGCCTATCCTTACCCTAGCATTCATCAGCTGCCAGTAGTTCCATCATTAGGGGTGGGGACTTGTGAGCTGCTCCAGCTTCATGCTAGAATGTCGACAGGCTTGATCTTGTGTAAGCAATCACAGTCACTGTGAGTCATGAGTGCAATGTCCCTGCCATGTTCAGAAGACCCTGTTTTGCTTGAGTACTCTCTAACCTCTGGCTCTTACGGTCTTTCCGTCTCCTCTTCCTTGATGTTTCCTGAGCCTTGGGGGTTGGAGGTATGATATAGGTTTCCTGTTTTTGAATTAGCACTCCACAGCACTTTGAGTACTTGTGAGTTTCTGTTTTAACCACCATCCACTGCACAAAAGTCTTTTCAGAGGCATCTGGTTTTCTCCATTTTTGAAGGTTCATTTGGCTCTTTGGATGATAGTTCTTCCATACTTTGTATCATTCCACTGCCATTTGGCCTTCCTAGCTTCTGATATGAAACCAACTTGTATTCTTGTTAAAGGCTCTTGTATGTAACAGGTCTCTTCATTTTCTTGTTTTCTGCTTGTTTCTGGCTTTTGCCAGTTTGGTTATATGTCTTATTTTGGAGGTCTCTGGACTTTTCTAGATTTCTATTGTTCACCAACAGTTAAGCAGTTGACAGTGCTTCCTTCTCTTCCACTTCTTGTTTGCTCAGTCTCAGGGTCAGCCAGGAGGTGGACTGAAAACTTGTTCAGATTCTCCTGGGCATTTTCACAGCGCTGGGCTTTTTAGGTCCTTTTAGGTACCCTGTGGACTGCTCACTTCCCAGCCTTTCCTTACAAGCTTTTTGATTTAGTGTATTATTTCCCCCAACTGTTTTAGTGAGCAGAAAGTAAAGCACTTGACTATAGCTGTTTTCACTGATTTTTCCCCCAAGTATTGGTCTTAGATCATAGGCTTTGTGCTGTCTCCTTTGGGGACATTTTTCCCCAGTACTAGAGAAAGGGTCTCACTAAGTTGCCCAGGTTCGCCTTGAACTTATGATACTCCTCCCTCATCCTCTCCAGTAGCTGTATAACCAACCAGGTCCTTATTGGGATTTTCTCTGACTGCTGGCCTTCTTTCTATGTTCTGCCCTGGCACACACCTGCCAAATGTGTATTAGACACTTTGGAGTCTTTTCTTACTTATTGAGCTACAAGAGGATCCTCCATCTTAAAATTTATTATAGTATTTACCCTAATCACCAGTGTCACTGTTGCCCTCACTGTAGTCCACATAATTACTATTAGTAAATTGTTCATAACCTATGCTGTCATGACTACAATAAGGATTATTAATAGTCTTAGCATTGTGCCCGCTCACTGGTGAGTAGGGCATACTAGCACTGGTAGCCAGCTTGGCAGTATGAGTTAGGCACCCCCACCCCATGCTTTGGTTCCTAGTGGCCTCAGGGATGTGGAGATGGTGGGCTCCCGGCTCAGTTCTTGTTAGTGCAGATTTCTGATGTGCCTTGAGACAAATTCTTGGGCAGTAGGCATTCCCGGGTAAAAGGAGCAGTGCCAAATCTACTCCAAAGCCACTTGAACCTTTGCCTGCTCATTTTCTACCTGACCAATTTAGAGGTTTTAGCCTCTATGAGAAACTACCTTCCACTTACCTGGAAGAGCTCTGCATTTGCATTGGGAATACCCAGCCTGGCTTTGTTACTGGGTGCACATATTGGTATCTGATTAAAACCACTCACCATCAAAACCAGAGTAACTCCTGGCCTTTGAGGTGGCAGACACCCATCTTGGTCTGACCTTTGGCACTGTCTGGTCAGTGTGATTCAATCAGAGACCCCTGAGCTGCTGGCCTACCACCAGTCAAAGGGGCTCCTATAGCAGCTCCCTGATCAGTGTTTCTGGGTCATGGTAGATGTTGCACCCCCAAGCTCCAAGCCCTTTGAGGACCAGGTGGGAGTGGTCCCCTTACCACCTGGTCATGCCCAATGACAGCCTGAGCAGAATAGGGAGGACAGGGGCTCCGGTAGGAAGATGGGGAGTCTTGTATGGATGGCAGCTTCTGCCTCTTTCAAGCTTGCAAGCGCTGAACTGACTTTGTTGTTTGTGTTTCTTTTTCTGTATAGCCGCAAGGATTGATGAAGTAACCCAGAAGTACAAGATCCTCACTGACAGACTGCACAGAGACACAAGATAATGTGGGGGAGAAGGCCCTCCCTGGAGCTGTTGGGGGGGGCAGTTCCAGTTCTGTTCATGGCCTACATGAATTTCCAGTTGCTTGGTAGCTGCAATTGGAGGAAAAAAAGGAAGAGGGAGGTGGAGAAGGCAGGCAGAGATGGGCAGGACAGGGGAGCTAGAAATAAAAGTTCTGAGAAGTTGCCTCCAGACTACTGTTTGTTTCTGCTTATCATACTCTTCCCCTCTGGCCTGGGATGCTCAGCCTCTCTTCTTGTCCTCGTCCCTGCTATTCTAGGTTAGCCAGATGGCACCCTTCTACTTCTCCAGTGGGCCTTGGCTTTTTCTCTCTGCTGCTTCCATTCCTTTCTGATACTGCCTGGTTAGGGTGACCATGCCTAGCCCTGGAGGTCTGCACTGCACCTTGTGATGACACCTCTTCCTGCCTCTGTGCCCTTCACCGCCTTTCCTGCCTCAGGGTCCTGCAAATGCCCTCTTTGCCATGTCCTTGGCAGCCAGGCTATTTCTTCCTTCTTTCCTAGGGTACTAGGGAATTCTCCCTCTGACCCAACTGGCTGTCCAGGAAACAGTGACCCAGTATCTTTTTGAGTAGTATACTTGTCGCGGCCACCTCCCTCCCTTCAAGCACCGGAACAGGAATGACTTAGTGAGGCCCATTATCACACCTGTGGCTGCCTGCCCCACCCTGCTCCTGTAACTGCACCTTTGCTCCCCCAGGCTCCCTGGATAGTTTTGGACAGCTGGGTGCCAGGCCCTTTCTGCTCAGACACTGATGGGTAAGCAAGTCCTTGTTCTCTATGACAGACTCAGGAGTGCCTGCAGTGGGCAGGTACAGCATTGACTACACAACCTTGGGAGGCCAGGCCCGCAGTGTTGGATACCTAGCTCTGGAATGAAATCTTCAGGAGAGGCCATGAATGGCCTAGCCTTCTAGCTACTCTCACGTCTTGATGGTGTCCTTCACCTGAAGTCAGGTGAGGCAGGAAAGAAAGGCCTTAGAGGAGCATTTTCTTATCTGTGGGTTATGACCTCCTTGGGGGTCGAATGACACTTTCACAGGGGTTGCATATCAGATATCGTCCATATCAGATATTTCCATTATGATTCATAACAGTAGCAAAATTAGAGTTATGCAGTAGCAATGAAAACAATTTTAAGGTTGGGGTTACCACAACTGTATTAAAGGGTCACAGCATCAGGAAGGTTGAGAAGCACTGCTCTACAGTCTTAGAGGTATCCAGACTGCCTCTTTCCACTTCTGAAATGGAAAAAATCGGCTCAGGCTGTTTGGGTCAGGCCTCATTACCTCATGGCCTTCCTTTGCCTGCCCATCCTCCCTGCCTTCTCCAAAACTCTACTAAATAAATGCTTGTAACAACATTAGGTGTCAAACCCAACAGCAGAGATCACCTTCCTGCTTGCTGCTAGAAAGTGGGGCCACAAGGTAAGGGTGATCTGCAACCAGACAGTTCTGCATTGGAGATGTTCCTGAGGCCACCCCTGTTTACTAAAGTAAGACTTAGGTCCTGTTCTCAGCATGATTTTCCATTCACAGACTAAACATAACCCAAGTAGATACCCCGTCACTCCTGAGATTATGGTAATCTCATGAAGGGCGTCTATATCCCCACTGATGGAGGAAACCAAGACCTGGAGAAGAGGATCAGCTGTCTGTGTGTAATGTGTCCCAGTATAGGGCTTAGGAAGCACCACACCTGGTTTATCCAGATCTGGCAACCACAACCCAGACCCTATGAGACTTTGAGGTAGGGCTTGGCGGAAAACAGGCTTCCATCACACTCTGACTTCCTCCTGCCTGTGAGGACACATTCCTCTTGGTCCATGACAGTACTCATCACTCACTGGAACCTGCGTGCGGCTGGAGCCCTGCTTCCCAGTCTGTAAACATGGGGCGTGTGTCCTGGTGGCTGCAAGCTCACGAGGGGGCGGTAAGCAAGCCGGCTGCACAGGTCCTGCGGCCTCAGGCCTCCAGATTGCCCAACTGGTGGCTAGGGGCGGGCTGTGGCCTCTGATTAAAGGCTGCCTGGAGCAGCCTGTGCAGAGACAGGTGCCCAGCAGCCCAGGAAGCCAGCTGAAGCCTGCCCCAGGTAAGCCAGTGTGGTGGGGATGGGTGGACAGTGCCATGAGCCAGGAGGCAGGTAGAAGCCAACCTAAGGCAGCACTTGTTTGGTAGAAAAATGGGGAAATTAGGGTCTTAATGTAACATGCCTCTGGTGTCTGCTACCCAAAGGTAGAAAGCAGGGCATAATGCCTGAGGCTCCCAGCCAAGGTGTCTACCAAGAAGCTGGGCCAAGGCACCATCTGTGGATTACACCTGCCTCCCTCCTTGCTGGAGACAGTGACTAGGTATGGGCCTCACAGCAAAAGGGAGAGGGACCTGGGCACAGCAGGCCTTTTGTGTCTGGTTAGGTGGCAGAACTAAGATTAGCTGCAGAGAGACCTGGGAAAAGGAGGAGGAGGGATGGACAGCAGTAACAGATCCTGGTCACTTGATCTCAGCCCCATAGTGTCCCCTTAAAAGTGTCCCTGGATATGAGTCTTAGAAACTTTGCCTAGCACCAAAGGTCTCATGAGGTGGGGTGGAGCCATAGGAAGTGAGGCCCTGAGTGATAGAGCTTTGACCTGAGGGGCTGCGGGCAAAAGGGCCTTGGTCCCATTTCTTTAGTCCTCTGGCTTATGCCACTTGTTCTGGTGCTTTAGGCCTCACTGTTCCTGTGAGAACGTCAGCATGTCTGAGCCGCCCCGGGCTGAGACCTTTGTATTCCTGGACCTGGAAGCCACTGGGCTCCCAAACATGGATCCTGAGATTGCGGAGATATCCCTTTTTGCTGTTCATCGCTCTTGCTTGGAGAACCCAGAGCGGGACGATTCTGGTGCTCTGGTGCTGCCCCGTGTGCTGGACAAGCTGACACTGTGCATGTGCCCGGAGCGCCCCTTTACTGCCAAGGCCAGTGAGATTACTGGTTTGAGCAGCGAAGGCCTGATGCACTGCCGAAAGGCAGCTTTCAATGACGATGTGGTGCGGACACTGCAGGGCTTCCTGAGCCGCCAGGAAGGCCCCATCTGCCTCGTGGCCCACAATGGCTTTGATTATGACTTCCCACTGCTTTGCACAGAGCTACAACGCCTGGGTGCTCATCTGCCCCAAGACACTGTCTGCCTGGACACACTGCCTGCGTTGAGGGGCCTGGACCGTGCTCACAGTCATGGCACCAGGGCTCAAGGCCGCAAGAGCTACAGCCTGGCTAGTCTCTTCCACCGCTACTTCCAGGCTGAGCCCAGTGCTGCACATTCAGCAGAGGGGGATGTGCACACACTGCTTCTGATCTTCCTGCATCGGGCTGCTGAGCTGCTCACCTGGGCCGATGAGCAGGCCCGCAGCTGGGCTCACATTGAGCCCATGTATGTGCCATCTGATGGTCCAAACTTTGAGGCCTGAGACATGTTCTCGCTCTCTGTAGTGCCTACCTGGCCTTCCTCGGCCTGGCCTAACTGGCCATAGGGTCCCAGAGCCCTCTTTGTGCCCTCCCTACCCTCTGGCCAGCCTGGGCTCCTGCAGGTTGCTCCTTCAGGGCTTCTGCCTTTCCTCCCATTTCTCAATAAATATCAGCAACTATTTACCAGCTGACTTACTGGCCAGATTTCTCTCTGCCCACACCCAAAACCATCACACCAAGACACAGATAGGGGCCATGCTGGCCTGACTCTGAATGTACAGGTTTTTCCAAGGGGTGTATGTTAGGTTGGGGTGCTGGACCCTGAGCCCCTGGCTGTCTCTCTGGTGTGTTTCATGGTCCCCTTGAGTGTTGCCCCTTTCTGCTAGGCCCTCAGGATGAGCAGGCTGAATCCTCCGGGGAGTGGACTGGAAGGGGTCTGAGTCTGCAGAGCTAGTTCATGCCTTCTTCAAAGCCTTGTCCCCCTCTGTCCCTGCTTGCAAAGTAGCATCAGTGAATTGATAGAGGGCACAGGGTAAAACAGCTATCTCTATGTTTGTGGACACGGTACATGGATGCCACAGGAGGAGGGGTCACCCAGGCAGGCTAGGGTGCTGAACTTTCCTGAGGTACAGAGGAGAGATATGGATTGGTACATAAGGTACCTTCCAGAATGGAACTCATCCCAGCTCTCAAATCCTTCATGGAGTGATTTGGGTGCGCACCTTCTCACCAGCTGCCTCAGCTGGACTGCAGGTTTCTGGTGAGCTGCCTTTGGGGCCCCACCCTCAGGCACTCCTGTCTTGTGGGAAGTCAGACCAGGTGAGAGCTGTGTCACCAAATGCTGGGGCAAGTAAGAAGGGGTGGGGTGGCCACACCCCAGAGTGACTCGTATGACCAAAGCCTCCAGCTTCGTCCTAGCCAGCCTGGCCCGTTTGGGAACCCTAAGTAGGTCAAAATGACTAGAGAGGCTTTGTGTGGGGGGCAGGACGGTGGAGCCAGAGTACTGGTGGCAGCTGTAGCAGAAGAGTCTCTTGACCTGGCTGAGACAGGACAGTGGAGGTAACAGAGGGTTGTGTCTAGAAGAGAGGCAAAATCTGATTTGTGTGTTTGTTGTATTTCTCAGGCTGGATTACCTTCTGGCCATGCTCAAGTGGACAGCCTATACCAGAAAGGGGTGCCCTTAGAATGCTGTCCCTGCTACAGGTCAGAAAGACTCAATTCCAGAATATCTGTGCCTTATAACACCTCCACAGTGGTCTTGTTTTGTGTTTTTCCCTCCCTGACGTTGAGGTTTCTGCCTCAGCCATCCAAGCGCCCTTGGCCTCCTGGTAGTCTGGTCTTGAATATTGTCCCCAAGTCTTTCATGCCCACTCAAGTCTTTCATGCCCACTCAGACTGGTCAGGCTAAGCACTAAGTGCCTTTCCATTTAGCACAGACAAGCTAAGACAGTAATATGCTGATGAATTCATGCCAAGTGGCTTTCCAGGAAAGTAAATGCACTTGTTTGTGTGTGTTCCACCCATATGTGTGCTGGCTCACAGTTTCCTTTCTCTTAATGAGTAAGTTAAAAATAAAGCAGCAGAGATATACTTAGCACTTCACATGTTCATACTACCCACTATGTTATGGCCACAGAGGCAGCACTCTGATTTAATCTGCAGTGTTAACATGTTCCCCATTATTTTCTCAAGGCATGGCAGTCAACAAAGTAAAAATAAATTGAGCACTACCATGACCTGGCCCATCAACCTCTATGGGAGTAGTTCTTTCGCTGTGGCCAATAGGAGGAGGACAGAGTATGCACAAGACTGTCCAGGAAGAGATTTGTGGTTTCACACCATGGCATTAATTTTCACTGTGCTCTGCTAGATGCGCATCAATACACAGTAACAGTAAGATGTAATAGATTTTGGATATCTTCTTTAGTTTTCAAATAACTTGCTTAATTTTTCATTTATATTACTTATTTATTTTTATTTTCTGGAGGCAGGTCTCATGTGTCCCAGGCTGTTCTTATACTCCCTATGTAGCTGAGGTCTGGACTCCTGATCCTCAAGCCCCCACATCCTAAGTGCTAGAATGATAAGCAGGTGTTGCCATGTCCAGCTTGTTTACATAATTTCATTTCTAACAGATGTTAACATTTAACAATTGCCTCTCAGATTTTCCAAACATTTAACATCCATCTGATATGGGTGTGATTTCTTATTAATAAACTGCCTAGGCCCATTTGATAGGCCAACCCTTAGGTAGGTGGAGAAAACAGAACAGGATGCTGGGAGAAAGAAACTGAGTCAGGAGTCGCCATGATTCTCCCACTCCAGACAGACGCAGGTTAAGATCTTCTCTGGTAAGCCACCTCGTGGGCTACACAGATTATTAGAAATGGGTTAGATTAATATGTAAGAGCTAGCCAGTAAGAGGCTACAGATAACGGGCCAGGCAGTGTTTAAAAGAATACAGTTTCCATGTAATTATTTCGGGCATAAGCCTGCCATGTGGGAGCCAGGGCTGCCAGAACGCAGCCCTGCCGCTCCTAACACTACATCCATCTGAATGACTAGAACAACAGCAACAAAAAATTGACTATCACACACTTTGTTAAAGATGAGAGAGGATTGAGGGCTCCTGTGCTTTTGGTGAGACTATAGGCGATGCAGCTTCATGGGAACCACCTGGGCAGTGTCTGAAAGGGTTAATGGAGCAACCATAATGAGATACTTAAACTTCCACCCATATATATTTCCCCAAGAGAAATTCAGGACACATTCAAGACATCTTGGTTCCAAAGGCCCCTTAACCAGAAAGAAGCAGATGTTTCCCAGTAGGATGGCTGGCTGTACAAATTATGTCACATATGCACCTGAGGATGCTGCCAGCAATGAACAGAGGATGCTTCTGAGACTCCAGACTGGATGCAACACGGGATAGCACAGGCCTGGAAGGAAGCTGGAAAGATGGCAAGGGCTGCCCTCCTTGTTTCTGTTACCAAGCTGAAGTTCCATCAGGATTATGTGAACTCTGATTTTCTTGGTTGCAGTTCAAACATACCTCTTCCTCACTCTCTATTAGGGACTTGATTTCCTTTAACCTCTTAATTTGCCTTTTAAAATTCCTTGGTGGGCCTGGGGATGTCACTAAGTTGACACAGTGCTTGTATAGTATGTACAAAGCCCAGGTATGCATGACCAAGGAACTCAGGCCTAACCTTGGGTGTAGGTATAAATTGCTTTCTTTGATCATCAGCCTCTTTTTCCAGAGCTCCATAATTCATGGAGCTATAATGCATGAAATTTCTTTGTTCTTATTTTCCATCCTCTGCAAATCTCACATCTAACAAAGGGGAAGGTGACTTCTAGCCTATTTTTGTTCTATTTGTATCTCTTATTGGAGCAATTAGCAGGAATAACCTAAACCATTTCCCTCATCTTCACTGTATAACCATCAGTATCTTTTAGGCTAACTCAAGAAGTCCAATTAAGTCACTGTTGTAACTAAACATCATTGCTCTTATAAAAATCATCTTCATTATGATCTGCAAGTAAGTTGCCCACTGAGGAGTGGGATTTTTCCCATAAAGCAATCACATTATACTAGATACAGTGGGATCCTTTCATATAGTAATCACACCATGCCAAATACAACAGGAATAGGACAGCAGCAAGTAGGAGGAAGCACAGCAGAAGCAAGGGGCATTCTGGATACAATCCCCACCCCTGGGGGAGACTTTACCCCTCCATAGTTTAGCTTTGCTATTTGGTGACTTGATGTGGGATTTCCCTCTGTCTGCTGTGATTACCATCGATAAATAAAAGAACTGCTTTGGGCCTATAGCAGAGCTATAGGGGAACAGAGCTAGGTGGGGAAACTAAGCTGAATGCTGGAAGAAAGAAGGTGGGGTTAGGGAGAAGCCATGGAGCCCCACCAGAGGCAGATGAAACTTTAGCTGGTAAGCCACAGCCACATGGAACTGTAGCTGGTAAGCCATAGCCACATGGTTAACAGAAATGGATTAAATTAAGATGTAAGAGTCAGCCAACAAGAAGCTAGAGCTAATGGGCCAAGCAGTGATTTAATTAATACAGTTTCTGTGTGATTGTTTTGGGTCTAAGCTACTGGGCAGCCAGGAAAACAAGCAGCCTTCCTTCCAACAAATTGGCATGTCAATGTGGTGGACTAAATCCCTGTAAAACCTGAGAAAGCTTAGCCATGCGAACAGAGCCATGCATGGTTCAGATCCATGGGTGAGGACTTGCTGACACTGACAGTGGACTGGTCTCCATGTGTTCTTAGAACCATGGGATGGGAGCCTTTTAACCATGGGAAGGGTATTCAAATGTTCTGGCTAACGAAAGGATGGCTTATTCCCACAGAGGGAGTGGTTAAGCTCGGTGGTTAAGAACACGTATTGTTCTCAGAAAGGACCCAATCTCGGTAGCCAGTACTCAAGTTAAGAGGGATTGAAAATTCAAGACCTGCTAGGGTTAAAGGTTACAGTTAAGATCAGTCTATATAACACTGCTTTGAGAACCCGTCTTGTCATGGGCAGGAGAGATGGCTCAGAGGTTAAGAGCGTTGCCTGCTCTTCCAAAGGTCCTGAGTTCAATTCCCAGCAACCACATGGTAGCTCACAACCATCTGTAATGGGGTCTGGTGCCCTCTTCTAGCCTGCAGGCATACATGCAGATACAATATTGTATACATAATAAATAAATATTAATAAAAATCTTGGAACACACACGCACACACAAAGAATTTTAGACACAAAAGAACAGAGTTAAGCATGGTTTGGTAGCAGCATTTTCTTCACTGGGCTCTGTTTGCTAGAAGCAAGCAGAGGCATGGCTCCTTTAAGAGAGGTTTTCCTGATTAAGTGGTAGCAGGAAAAAAAGATGCACCATTTTGAAATGCTTGCTTTCTGGGCCATGCTGCCAGCATAAACTCTGGCTCTTTCAGGAGGCTGAGCGATTTAAATGGGGTTTGTAAACAGCGTGTTACAAACTGCTTAATGGCTTGACATAGACCCACTGCATACTTGTAACTGGGGTGGTATGTGCAGCTCAGGTGAACAGACCTCCTCTGCCATGTCGGACTGGGCAGAACAAGCAGGCAGGCATTACTTGGGTAATGGTGCAGCTTAAGTTATTAAGAAGTGTTTAGCATCGT